CAATATACCAAAATATTATGGTTGATATACTAATATTTTACCATGGAAAATATTTTAAAACATAATAATATAATTTCAATGAATAAAAATAAGGATCTGAACACCATAGACTGGAGATAGCTTCCTCGTAGGAATAATCTACTACAAAGAATTTAAATGGTAGTTTTGAAACTATTTAAAACAATTACCATAAAAGCAGATAAACTAATGTAATGTATTAGGTATCCTTTGTATTGATTTAATACTAGTCGGTGTTACAGTAGAGCTGGTCTAGTGGTTTGAGCGCTGGACTTCGGTTCCAGAGGCATCGGATTCAAATCCCGCCAAATCACCAATGGATTTTATCAATGTGATAATGCCGCAACCCCTAGAAAAACCTGAAGTAATGTGAAAAACAATTTCGGGCTCATGCCTAGCGTTCTAGGACAAAAATTATCACCGACGAAAAAACCTGAACTCCTAAACAATGTAAAAAATTAAAAAAAATTTATGTATATTTTGTTTTGATTCAATGCAAAATCTAGTTGCAACAGAAAAACCTAAATATATCACCGATTCTAGCCAAATTCTGTGATTCTCACCCCTGCTATATTTCAACTGTCGAAAACATCTGTATGAAGGAGGGTGCAAATTGTTGCCATTTGTCTGCCAATCTATTTTTGCACTTACCTTCAATTTCAAAAAAAGAATTTACCTTAGATTCTTACCCTCGTCGATACGTTAGAATCCATAACTTTTCTACAAACTAAGTTTTGAAATAAATTTTAGTAAAAAAAAAAACTTCAAAGACTCAGTATATTTGGATGTGAATCTCTGTATAAAGAGTGTATATTTTACATTTATTTTATCCCCTTCCAACATTTTTAGAACACTAGGCATCCGGAATTTACAGATCGTCATACTGTACTACAATAGGGGGTCACACCGATAAATCGACTTCCAAATAAGATTTTAATTAGATTAAATAACAAAATCTTCCTAACCTAACTTCCCTTTTTAGTCAGGTTAGGTTAGGTTACCACCCCTAGGTTTGGTTAGGTTAGCTTATAATTATTAGGTGTGGTTGGTATAATACGTAGTACCCAATAGGATGTTGCAATAGGGCGGGAAATATTTGCAGTGACCTAACTCATTCATTTAACCCACTAAAATCCGGCCCACTTTCATATTCTATTAAAAAGTGAACACAAAATTATACAACAATACATCCCCTCTGGGCAAGGGATGTGAAGCAAAGAATACAACATTCACAACAGATTCTTGTACACCCCAAATTAACAGAATATTCAAATTTGTATGCAGACCACGCCACCCAATCTAGTAACATGTGGCTCTAACAACACTGCTAGTGCTAATGAGTTTACCATTTAGCCTGGTAAAAATAACTACATGAAAGACTGTTGGTTAATTTTCTGCAAAATATTTTTGCCTGTTTATTTATAGCTTTATACACCTAATTTCAAGAATTTGCATGTTTTTGGCACATGATAATGTCAAAGAAGTACAAATTTAAATAGAAAGCCAGTTCTAACATATCAATCTACATCGAATAACATATTTATGTAAATGGTGTCCCACGAAGAGTTTGGTATTTTGAATTAATATACCAGACGCATAGAGCACCCTTTAAACTAAAAAATCCACAACTACAAAACATATATGTAAAAAACACTCCACTGAGTCCCACCAATCAGAAAACAAAATTGCGGAACATCAAAATAATGTTGCGTTTTTTTAAGTACCGGTATTGGTTTTTGCAAGGAGATTTCAAACTGATTGCGCGAATAACTCAATGAAGCTATGACAATGGTAGTAAAATGTCATGCTAGTACAAGTTAACTATTTTGAACTCGTGTTCCTAAACAAACATAAAACCTGTGTACTCAGAAAAGAAAATGGATAGAAATTGTAAAGCGTTGACGTAAAAATATAGTCTTGAACAAACGAAACCCCAATAGCCTTTGAATGTCTGGAGGTTGCTTTAAGTATTCACCCCAAACAAACTTCCCTTCCGAACAGTCAGTTTAATCGTAAAACACCGACAAGGAAATTAGATTGGCAAAGTGAATCGTCTACAACAGTTGCAGCAGAGGGTGATTCACTTAGTCTTCATTTTGAATCCAACTGGGAAAAATATTGCGTTCACTATTACTAGTTTTTACTTAGGTGGATAGTTTGATTGTTCAGCACAAGTTCTTTGAAGAAATAAAGAAACGGTATCAGCAATCTGACACATACTTTCTCCCTCAAGCTTGTCCACAACATTTTAGCATGGGTAACAACACATTTTCTACATATTTTCACATATATGTATAATATGTGAAATAATAAATGATATGTATAATATATATATATATTCTACATATTTTCATAGTTTTTAGTTTAACTTTTCTCTCGTTTCGTGTCTCACTTGGCCAATTTAAGCCAACTTGTTGTCTTGTTTAGTAAATTCGGACTCTGTGGGAGTTAGGCTAGGTTAGGCCTATTTTGTACTAACCTTGTTTGTTTCAGGTTGACGACTTAACTCCGTAGGTAAGCGGAGTGACTACTTAGCTTACTTGTTGATTCGTTAAGTTAGCTAGTAGTGTGTCATTTAGATATTTACCCACAGAGTCAAGTCAAAATTATTAATTTCCCCACAAGCCCTAGGCTAGAGTGGTGATTTCGAGTAGGGTGTTTAGTAACCCGCAACGTTCGTCTCGAGCTCTGACAACCAGGGCTATCAAATTTAGGCTATCCGAATCACTATCGACTCCTGGGAAACTCCCCGCGACCAGACTAGGGCGAATCCTGGGATCTTCGTTTTATTACCGGTGGCGTAATTTCCCACTTGTCGCCCGCCAGGAAAATTACGTCACATAAATGGTTTCGTAGGAATAACTATGATATTTTATATGGAAAAATCACAACAGTTGCACTAACTAAAAATCACAAAAGATGCAATAACTTTTGAACCGTAATTGTTACAGCAATGGGGGGTTGCACTATTTTGTTTAGAATTATAAGGACTATAACACATTAGTTTTAATCAAAACAGTTTTTTCCCTAAAATAAGACGTTTTGGTTATTTTATGGAGTTTATATGGGAACGGATATATCCACTCAAAACTCAAACTCGGAAATTTTGACGAAAACGATAATTCTCCATATACTCTGTATAGGGGGAGAAAGTAAAAAATGAAAATATTTTTGCTTTTATGTCCCCAAATATAAAAGGGGTTTTTGGAGAAATGTCTCTGCACTTTCCTAAAACTCTTACAAATTTTGTTTAGGTGAAACCAGGGTGGCAATATCGTGTTGTGACAATAGTTCCCGTAAGATATAGTGGTAGCGTGGCCGAGCGGTCTAAGGCGCTGGTTTAAGGCACCAGTCTCTTCGGAGGCGTGGGTTCGAATCCCACCGCTGCCAGAAACTTTTGTAAAGTTCACTTAAGTATTACTTTGATTGCGTAACGTTCCTAAAGTACAGTACTGTAGTTATCCTCTGTACAGTAGGAGAATTTTGTTAGGCTTTTAACTAAATTCATAATTATTTTTTCAGAGTGGTTACATAAAGTGGGTGCTAAAATTATATTATGTCCTGTAAAAGTAAGTTTCAAACAAATACTGGGAAAACGAATGACCACAAAATATAAATATAATATACTTGGGCTAAATATGTGGCTATTTCTGCCTCAATTCTTACTACGTCCAAATAATTTGAATCTTAATTCTGTTTTGAAATTCATTCAGGGTTCAACTGCTACATATAAATCAGCTAGTTGAAGTAGTTTCTAGTCTTTATTTGACTTAACTAGTTATATACTGCGCCTCGAATTTTAAGGTCAACTATAAATTTCATCTGAATCAGGGATTTGCTCTAGTTCTTTTGTATTTGAGCTATCTTCTTATAGGATTTTGCATTGAATTTATAATGCCCACAGTACTTCAATCGGAATCAGCTAGGTTTTTTCAAGTTCTCTTCGTGACATGAATTATCTAGTTGTATAATTTCGTCTTCAGTTTATAAGACGGAAATATATTTTGTATGATTTAAAAAATACCGATTTTTATAAACAAAAACCAATAGATAACCTTATTTGTCAACTTATATAACTGCTACGTTGTTATTTACAGACAACAAGTTTTTTGACAGAGCATCAAACAACAAAGTAGTAAAATAGGAAGTAGGAAAATAAATAAACAAACATTATATTCCAATTACAATCCCATCTTCTGCCAGTTTATTTCCACTTTGCATACAAAACAGTTTTTTACAAAAGTACAAAATATGCTTCCATAATAAGCCTTATTTACAGCATTTAAAACTGCATTGGAATTCTATATTGATTGGTTTGTAATTTTTATTTTGGTTGTAGAGTATAAATAGTTTATGAATTATTGAAAATTTCAATGATATAGCTAAGTATAAAAAAATAAAATAAATTTGAAACTAAATTCCGCAACGATTCAACAAAGATTATTAATAATAATAGGTTCAAAGGTAATCGTGGGTTAAATAAGATACGCATATTAAGTTTAATGGTAGAATGACGATGATTTGAAAATAAAGGAACACCATTGTATGTCATTGTCTGAATACATATTGTGAAACATTAAATTTAAAATCAATACCATAGAGAATAGTAAACATTAAATACAAATGAAGATCTTTTATTATTATTTACGACTTGTACAGTTTAAGCCTTTGCCTGCAAATGTCTTCTTTTCAGTCTATGTTACTAACAATAAATTATTTTATACATTGACTTTTTATTTATGAAACAAATTATAGTTAGAATATCACCGTGACGATAAGAGGTTAAAAATTTAAATAAGGAAAACTGCTAAGAATAAAAAAGGATTAAGCACAACACTAGTCAACAATAAGGTATAATTATTATACAAGGCGTAAACAAATATTTTATCAGAAAACTTTCGGTGAATCAAAGACAAGATTATGTTATTGACATTCTTGAAATAATAAAAAAATTAAACGGTAATATAAAATAACATATAGGATCATAATGTATTCGAATTGAACCTCACCATGATTAATGATTTATAGTTGTAGGAGATCGAACCATAAAAAAATCAGTTGAATAATTTTGAAAAACTATAAGATCTATTTTTATTCTTAATCTGCCCAACTATACAATTCTAAACACATTTGAAAATACAAATAATTCAAATAATATTTCTGGACAGAGTTGATTATTTTATATACTTTTGTCTGCATTCAGATATTCTTCAGCCCATTTTTTTACAACACTAATGGATTGCATTGTGCAATTCTAGTATTCTAGCTATTCTGATATGTGTTGTAGATATGTGAAGGAATTTTGTGCTTTTGCCAGAACCGTAAATTGTGTTGTAAAAATCTATATAAACCTTTTAAATAATTTATATAGCTTGCATTTGATGGTTTTTGTATTTTAGACACAAAATATGCTTTTAAACTGTTCATATAAAAATACTAGTTAGATGCAATTTCAATAAAAAATTGACTCCAACGAATTATCGATTTGTATAAATTTTGTTTGAGAACTAGAGTCAAATAGTTTCGATAGATTTTTACAACAAATTTGATCTAATTACATGAACATCGTTTTACACATAATTCTAAACACCAGGCAATGTTGTTTAACATTCTGGCGTGGTTTCTTTTATTGTGCTGGAGGTCCTAAGAAGGCTACACCTGGAATTTGTTTACAAAATAGTGCTATTTTCATCAATTTATAAAGACCCAAAGAACGATTCAAATGACAGTACATTAATTGACAGCGAACGTTTGGCACATTTATTATGTTTTACTCAGGTCTAAGCTAGATTTGTGTGTTTTCAAAACATATTTGAAAACTATTATTGTGCGTATCTATGGTGAAACTATAGCTATCCCGAAGCTTATCAAGACTACTCAACATATTCTTACATCTAAATTTGTTTGAAACAAAAATAAATCCAACTTTTTATAAAAATAACAGCAGCGAAAGAGTCACAAAATTTTATTAGTCTAAGAAAAGACACTTGACAAAGATTTTATGACGTAAGCATGAAGAAAGACACGTTTCGTCTATTTTACAAAATTACACCATTAACCTAACATTGAGTATAGATACAAAAATGATATGTGTACAAAATGAGAAGTTGAAACACTCATTGAATAAATGAAAAGCTTATGAGAAAATTTGGCTGATTTTTTTACTGGTTTTCCCTAAACTTGAGCCAATATGATATGTAAAATATTGGACCATTTCTAGGTGGACGGATGGACAATTTTGAAAAACAAAATGTCCTAAGAACGATAAATCATAAGTTTTTCTTGGTTTTTATTATCATGTGCACTTTGCAATATGATATTGCACCATATCAGTATTAAAATAGTTATTTATCGAAGATTTAGAAATGCTACTGATGTATGGTTAAGAGAAATATTTGAAACATAAAAACAAAATGTTCGCCAAGCCCCAATTGTTGGCTTGGTACGGACCTTATGTTCTTGTGATACAATTTAAAGCGGCAATACTTTTAGATACATTCATTAGATGTTTATTTAGCCCTAAAAATGTTTCCTTAACATTACAAAGAGAGAACTGAAAATGAATGATTTAAACCAAGACTTTTCTGTTAACCACAGTTTCTTAGCTGTTCCATTTCAGAGAAAAGTTGTAGCATATTTTATACACTAACTTTAATTAAATTAAACGTAGGCCTATAAGAAAATATTTTCTTTAAGTCCTAAATGATTATGATAACTTAAAAAATATTTATAAAATTTCGAATATCCTGTCTACTTTCTTTAATATTTTCCATTGTAAAAGTACACAACCCAGGATTTTCACTCGAGTCTCTGATGAAACTTCTGTACGACCATCTTTATCGTAAAACACTCTTGAATTATTGAAGATTGAGAATATTCATCAAGCTTTAATGGTTGACAGTACTTCAAAAATCTTCAAAGTTGAGGACTGTTTTCACGGTCAAAAATATTCTTCAAGGTCGAGAGAAATACTCTAGATTGAAGATTATGTTTGAGATTGCCAAAACTCATCACGTATTTAAGGTTGACAGCAATCCTTAATGTTTAACCATACTCTTTAAATTGCCAAGGATGAAAATATTCTTTAGGTCTTCAAGGTTAAGAGCACTCTTTCTTAAGTCTTCAAGTTTGATAACACTCTTTGCCCTCACAGGTTGTGAATAATCTTCAAAGTTGACAACACTAATTTTACGTCTTCAAGCTCGACAACAATCTTCACCCTCACAGGGTGTGAACAATCTTCAAAGTTGACAAGACTTTTTAAGTCTTCAAATCACCAACTCTCTTCCATCTTAAAGGTTGAGAACATTCTTCAAGGTTGACGATACGGTTCAAGTTTTCAAGTTTGACAACACTCAGTCAAGGTGGCAAAATCTTCAATTTCGACAACCTTCCTCAATTCTTCAAGTTTGACTCCGTTCTCCATGTCCTCAAAGTGTATCAAGGTCTCCAGTCACACCAGTCCTGCACGCGTTGCTGCTATAACCTCGCCTGGTAATGCTTGTTGGAGGGTTCGCTTCTAGCAGAGTTGTGGTAAACTGGGTTGTAGCCTCGAGTAAAGGTGGTGAGGGTGTTGGAGGGGTTGGTGTAGCCTCCAACCCCGACACCTTGTAGCCTCCACCGCAGAGAAGTGGGGGAAATTACGTCTGGAGGAGGATGTGCTGGAGACTGGGGAACGGCTACGTACTCCCCTAGGCGATCCTGAAACATATTACCATGACGTGTATTTAAATATATCGGTGAGAGATAGACATGCACAAACAAGATAGTGCACACAAGAGTTTTCCAGTTATTGACTTATTGGTGTTTAGCAGAGTTTGACACCACCATTTGTTTAGAAATGAAACAATAATTCTTGATTAAGTAAAAATATTTACATATCGATTTGTAGATTTCTTCTACACTTAAATCATTAATTTATGATTATTAACATTATTTAGAACACAGGTTGGCCTACTGACAGTTTCTTGTGACTTTAAATATAAAAACAATACGTGTACGTAAAAGATACAACGGTTGTTAAAGAACATAATCCTCTCCGTGAATGAGTCATTCTATGGTTTATGTAGGGGTTTCTAAGTGTTGAATAAAAAAGTACAATGTTAGTGACATTACTGATAAGAATGAAAGTTCAAATTCATGGTAGGCAAGAAGAAGACTATTTGACTCAATCATTACCGGGTAATCAGAGGAGTGTGGCGACTATAGTTCGGCCGCTTAGAAAGCGACCTCCTCCAGCATTGGTTTAGCATTAGCGCGCAGGTCTTTTCTAAGCGGCCGAACTATAGAAGGAAACTTCATAATAATTACTAAAAATATAATCGTTGTACATTGAATCATGAAAAAATCTCAATTACTAGGTGATTGAACGATAAACCATACTCGAAGGGACTTGCTTTGAATATAATCCTCACCTGAGTAATTGATTTTAGAAGACATTAAAAAATATTAGCTCACCTTAAGTAGGATCAAAAAGTAATGGTTACCAAACTTACATTGTAAAACCTATGGACAGGGTTGTGGCGATGTCTGGAAGGTCTTCGTAAAGTTTCCGTTCTTTGGTCTCTTGCATGAGAGTCTCGGCCGAGTAGAGGACTGTTGGAGCAACTCCCTGTAAAACAGTTCATTTTGGTAAACAATGTGATAATAGTCGTGTAGAGATATTATACTCGTGATCAGATTGGGAAATGAAAAATTGTGTAGGGCTTTCTTAGAAGAAGATCCATCTTTGTCGACCAATCATTTTTACCTGAAGAATGCTTCTTGCCAACAATGGCAACCCAGTTGACTCTACCAGTTAAAGTGACTATTTTAGAGTAATTAGGAAGCCATAATTGTTTCAGTGTATCCAAGAAATCACAGATGGTTTAGCATGTTCAACATCGTAAGCAAGACTACTCTAACAGTCATTATTTGTGATCCTAAACGAACATTTACTTGTACATCTTCTTCTTCGTGACGGTACAATGGGCTGAAAAACTACTGTTGTTTAAGAACTATGTCCTATGTGGTTGTCTTAGGACTATGTCTGGGTTGGGATTGCAGCTGTGATAGATTCTTGGTCTTCGGACAACCTCAGTTTAAAAACCAACGAAACAATTTCACCTGATGTTTCGGCCTTGATGCATGTTCCATTCTCAGGCTGACTTACACACTCTTTGCATTTTGCATTTTGACACGGACCACTAAGACTAAAAATTTACAATAAAAGGTCACACATTGGAAACCTATCCAGTAAAAGTATGCCATTTTAGAAATCGTTTATATAGCTGAGCGTACTTATACTTTATGGGAAAATCTATCCCTCAAGATCACCTGTCTGGTAGTTATACGCCTGATGAGTTCTGGTCTCTCCGTTGTAGCTCCCAGGGTAATGGTGAGGATCGTACAGCCGTCCTGGACCGTACATATCAGACCCTCTGTACAACTCTCTACTGGACCCTTGGCCTGACCAGCTCTGAAACAATCAAAGTTAGTACTTCTAAACATTTCGATAATTTGTTTTAGAAGCGAGAATACATTTTGAACAAGATTAACATTTGAGAGGAAAGATACAACAAAATCGATATGATTGAGAATGCCGGGATTCTGTTAACCAAAATCACAAAGGGTATAAACCAGTTTAGTATATAGTATATATCCTGTAAGAATCCTGTATATATCCTGTGTGTATATCCTGTTAAGCGTTGAATTGCTCACCATCATTCGGTTGGACGGTTCCACAGGCGAGACGAGGGTTGTACTGGCGTACGGTTCAGGTGAACACGACCTCTCCCTCTCGCGGTATTGAGGCGGGGGTTGCTGATGGGTGACCTCCGCGTAGTCCGGGGTCGTAACCTTCACCTCAGCGACCTTGGAGTCTGACAGAGGCTCTGACAACAGCGGTTTCGGCTCCTGCAGAACTGTCACTGTGTGCTCTGAAAAAACAAACTAATGTTAAAGGAAAACCCAAGATGACCTTTGGCCCATGAATTTAATTTTCATGATAAAGAAAGTTACCGACAATGTAACCCTTCTGAAAATATAACATAATAAACAGTAAAAACGAAATATACTACTGTACAAGTAAAATTACTTTTAGCAAGCAATTTCATCGGTCACTAAAAGGAGGAGGCAATTGTGGCGAACCTTAAAAATAATTTAGGGATTTAAAGGAGGTATCTGAACAATAGTTAGGGAAAAGAGAGTGGGCAAACTGGTTATAAAATTAATTAATTATTAACAACTTGAAAATAAAGCTGAAAAAAAACTTGAAAATAAAATAGAGATTCAATAGAAAATACAACACAAAAACAGGTTGATGAGCAAAGGAAAATAGATTTATTAAAATTGAGGAGCACAAAGATCCGGAAAAAATTGAATCAACAAAGACAATGTTTCATTTATGTAAAAATAACAGAAAGACTAAATAAATCTTATTGTAACTGTAAGATTAAGAGTTTAAACCTGGAAGAGCGGTCATCTTTGCATCCAACTGGCGTCTGCGCACAAAGAGAAGAGCAGCAAACAGCAAACACATGATGGCGACCAGTGACATGAGAACAACCACGAACCACGTCTCCGTCACGAACTTAGGAGTCGTCGTGGTGAACTCGGGTTGTTCCAATGTGGGGTACCTGAAGAAGAACAAGGTCGTAAGGATAGTAAAAGAACTGTTGACATGCTAGTTGTATCACTATATAGATTGGAATATAGAGTGAAATGAAATAAATTATCCGTATATGGAAAGTCCAGAGATTTGATAGACACTTTCGTCTTTGATTTTCCTTACTTCATCTTCGAAAGACGTTTCGAGAGCTAAATGATTATTTCGTGTCCTTATGTGCCATTGAGCAATCAGGTAATTAATATTCCAGAGTCGAATATCCGCGAATGGAAAGTCAAAGATTGGTACAAAAACTGTTCTTTCGAAACATATTTTTATTTCATCCATCTTCAAAAGACGTTTTGAGGTGAACGATTATTGCTTTTTGCTTCATTTCCTTTAATGTGCAAATATTCTAGAGTAGTTTATCCGTAGATGCTAAATAGTTTTTCACTTGCTACATTTCCTGATTGCATTTATCCCACAAAGACTTTTTGAAGCCTTAATAATAGTTTAGGGCGATTTATTGCATTTGATGAACAACAATTCGATTTGTCAGATTATTAGTCAATTAGCTGGAAAAATTCACCATGCAGAAGCTTAATTCTAAGAAAATGTACGTTGTTTGGATCGAAGAAAGCACGTAATCACTTTTGAAGATCCACATTACACACCTCTTATTTCCCTAGTTTAAAAATAACCAGTGAAGCAGTGAATAAGCAGTCAATCGCCATCTTTTATAAAAGGTATTCTAATGGCATTCAGATGTCTTTCAAGAGATTTAAATGACAATAATATAATTTTTGTGATGAAATAAGGTCACGATATGATTTAAGCTGAATCTCACCTGTAGTTGTTGAGAAGTCTACTATAAGGGTCCAGCCTCAAAGTGGCAGGGCTGCTGTATGGACCCGACCCTACCCTGGTCACTGCAGCGGCTTGTACCAAGTACATCAGCCCGGCAGTGAGGTTCGTCAGCAGCAGCGACGGAGATGCAGCATTCACTGTCACGTTCGTCAGCAGTGTGCCGTTGAGCGCTGGGCCTCCGCGCACTACCACCTGCATAAACGAAAATGTCTAGATGATTTAGATTCAGCTCGACACAAACATTAAACATGATTATAGCACGATTTGGTATGAATATGTTCAAAGAACTTATCAATAAAATAAATCACAACAGCGACTCTCTTGCGTAATAAGCTTCTGTCTTTGTGAAACAGGAAAAAGGACCGTGAAAGAAAGAACAACGTATCTAAACTGTGTTGATGTTTTCACCATTTATTTGGTAAATAAATTCAAACTAAACCTAGTTTTATACTTTGTATCAGAAAACAGACTCTGCAGAATGAGATGTACAGTATTGCCAAACAAGTTGAACCTTACGAGTATTTTGGCTCATACTATTTATCCTTCAATCAACAGTTTATTAAACGGTGTATAGGATGATAGAGAAGTTTTTTGAGGGAAGAACGACATGTACAGAAATAACTTAAGTCATAAACTACTTTAGTCTGTATGATGGAACCTGTCTCCTGATCCTCCATATACCTGGACCGGCCCAAATGGCTTAAGTCCCGGACCAGTTTCTAGGTAGACGAAGGATCATGAGACAGGTTCCATCATACTGGCTATACTGGGGCAGAGAGATGGTGTTATGTTCGTGATAGCTTCCCAGGCTAGAAATGTGTAAATTTAAGATCTCTATGGGTATAAGGTGATGGTACACTTTACCTGATAGTAGCGTATAACCCCGCGATGTGTGTATTGAGGCGGAGGTTTCCAAGTGACCAGCACAGCTGATCCGTTCAGCAGCTGTGCTTCCATCTGTGTTGGTGATGCCGTGGGTACTGAGGAGGAAAAACATCATTACAATACACTACATGTGCAATCATTACAGTGTGATGCGTACAAAAATACTATTTACAACGCGCTGCGCTTAGAAAAGCATCATTACAACCCACCGTCCGTAGTGGACCATCAGTTGAACTATTAAATTCTGAAGTAGACATCCCATCTATATGGACCAGCTGTCACCAAATAATTGCTAAAAAAAGAACGTAGTTATATGAGCCAGACACAGAAATCTCTAGTGTCAAAAACTCTATTTTCTACCTTATTTTTGGTGCTGACATAGTTTGTTGCTATGCCTCACAATAAATCGTTCCATCAGTTTGACTTGGTGAAAAGGTTCGTGTATTCGACAAAAAACAGGAATTTAGATCAGCACAATCTGACGGTGGCTCACATCAACTACGACGATTTTGATTCAAATAAAAACCTGGTGACAACTTCAACATGGGGATGGAATGTCTGGTTGTATGAAAATAGGCAAAGGTTGAACACACTGCGCTAAAGGAAATATAATGACAACCCACTATAACCAGAGCAAATTATCCAGTGCGCAGAGCAAACCATCACTAATACCATAGATAAAACATACTCCCTTAGTAGATTTCTCATCCTAATGGAACAGCTGAAGACAATTTTATTGTTAGTTCTGTACGGTTTATGTAGAGGTCGTGTTTTGTTTACAATTTGTTTCCCGTTAATAATACGCACTGAGCAGAGCAAACATCTGTGGATTGTATGGATTTTATCTAATTGAATTGAAATTTAAAATAGAAATCGTAACTTAAAGTATTCGTGATTATCACGAAGACAATTATATAATTACAGGTATAATTCAGCTGTTGAAATGTAGTACTTAATTGTTAGAAAACAGGTCAAGCAGTCTGGCAGGTGTTGTTTTGAGTGAGAGAGGCAAAAACAAAGGATCAAGGGGGGTAAAATGTAACCCTTTGTTGACGTCCGTGTGGCCACGTCTTGTTTTACAAAGCTCAGCTGTTCAATGATTAAAGAGCTCAAATAACTTTAGTATTTTTGAGTTAATTTAGTTGATAAGCTAATTAAGCCTATACTGAGATAAAATTTCAAACCCTTCGATTTTTTCACTTTTACCAAATATGCTAATGTTTTGTTTTAGTTTTGTTTTGTGTTTTGTAAACGTGTTTTGATACTTAATGTTCTCAAAACGATATGTTCTGAGATTTATGTTTTATCATGTTTTATTTACAGAGTAGACATGTAATTTGATCTAAGGCGTTGATTAAACAAATTAAAAACCGATTAAGGTATTATTTGTATCTAAATTTTGAATCCAAATATTCAAATCAGGAAAAAACCCTCCAGTAATTTAGTGTATCTTTAATTTGACGTATACTACTGTATAAGAATTATACTCACCAGTAGTATTTGTATTTTAGAGGAGGACTTGTGACACCCGGGGAACTTACGAAATATTAATAATAGTGGTACTGTACAATTAAAATTACAATGGACGGGAAAGATACGATATTTTGGAATACTCTTTGAAATAAGGCGTGGGCAGCCCTGGGGGCTGTTTACGTTTTTTCTGATAAAATAATAAAATTTGATGACAACTTTTTACAAATACTTTTTATATAAAAAGACGGAGAAGTCCACAACACCGACACAATACTTGCTCAAGACCTCTCGACATCTCGGAGTGTTACAATTTGGGCTCAATCTCACCTTCCTTCTTTCATTTAGGTTTTTGTTCCTCTTAAATTGCCTTTGTTCCAAATTTAATCAGCTTCTCTAGCATGTATTGTTCTCTTCTGGCTCGAGTCTTAATTAAATGTTGTCAAATTTGTTGAATCATAGATTGTCGAAATTTGATCCGTGTCTCTATTTCTGTAATGTTTAATGTAACTGTTTTATTAGTCATCATCATTTAAAAATTGACTATATGGACAAATAAAGAGTTTTTTTTAAACATTTAATTACTGTACAAAATCTCAAACTACGTCACTCGTCTATTATTTAACTATTGAGCCTTCCTATGCAGAATCATCTTATTTGTGTCTTATTTTAATGAAAGTAATTTTATTTACATAGATACTAAATAAAATGTTTATTTAAGTGTCAATATAAAATATACCATGAATTTGGTACTTACTAAAAGTAAAAGTCTTTTAATTCCATTGTACAGCAATCGCAAGGTTGAAAGTGAAAATTAACTATAAAAAATGTTGCAGAGGATAAAGTTTAACGAATAATTTGTCCTATAAATGTCAATTAAATGACAAATAACAGATTAATTCAAATAAACAACAGATTTCACACTAACAATAAAACTTATTTCTTGAAATCTCACCGAGCCTATATACATTTTTACCCCATAAAATTACATATTCATGAACTCTTATGTTTGTACTTAAAATCAAAGAGTAAATGTAAATCCATAAAAAAAAACAAAAATGTGATTATATTTAAGCTTATTGGACATTAAAAACTACACATCAAAAGATATATTTGAGATTTTACATGCGAATGATTAAACATACTCTTCTGTAAATTTACGACTCTTTTGTACAGGCTTAAGTGTACGGTACGTTTATACCGGGTAAAGCTTTGGTGCGTTGATGTCATTTATTTAATTATTTTTATTTCCACTTTGAAAAAATTAAGCTAGTCACATAGAAGTAATAACGGGCACACACAATACACTTACAATTCTACAATTGCACGAAGAGTAATACTGTACTTGTAGTATCATTGAGAAACTTTTTATGTCCTAGGACGCTAGGCCCAAAAAGCCAAGCATAACTTTTTTAAATATTACTTCAGGCCTAGAGGTTGTGAAATTTTTACTTTGATAAATCCGTTTGATTTGGCAGGATTTGAACCCGTCCCGGGGGACCGACTAAGGGACCGAAGTCCATAGCTGTACTACTAGACCACCCCATCCATTCAGCAACTTACCATCCTCCAGAGTCCTAACAGTCCTCGAGTTAGACGGTCGACCGTCGATGTGCTTGTAGAAAGGGACGAGGAAGAACTGGTAGCGGGTGTAAGGCATCAGACCTGTCACTATGAAGCCTGACGTGTCTCCAGCATGAAGGACCGTGAGAGCGTTGGTCGTCTTGGATCTGACGTCGAGACCCCGGGAGTAGATGTACACTCCCTCCACGAAGTCGGAGATCAGTATCTGGAGACAGAGACATGTTATAGTCTGTATGATGAAACCTGTCACTATGAAGCCTGACGTGTCTCCAGCGTGGAGGACCGTGAGAGCGTTGGTCGTCTTGGATCTGACGTCGAGACCTCGGGAGTAGATGTACACCCCCTCCACAAAGTCGGAGATCAGTATCTGGAGACAGAGACATGTTATAGTCTGTATGATGAAACCTGTCACTATGAAGCCTGACGTGTCTCCAGCGTGGAGGACCGTGAGAGCGTTGGTCGTCTTGGATCTGACGTCGAGACCCCGGGAGTAGATGTACACTCCCTCCACGAAGTCGGAGATCAGTATCTGGAGACAGAGACATGTTATAATCTGTATGATGTAACCTGTCACTATGAAGCCTGACGTGTCTCCAGCATGGAGGACCGTGAGAGCGTTGGTCGTCTTGGATCTGACGTCGAGACCCCGGGAGTAGATGTACACTCCCTCTACAAAGTCGGAGATCAGTATCTGGAGGCAGAGACATGTTATAGTCTGTATGATGAAACCTGTCACTATGAAGCCTGACGTGTCTCCGGCGTGGAGGACCGTGAGAGCGTTGGTCGTCTTGGATCTGACGTCAAGACCCCGCGAGTAGATGTACACTCCCTCCACAAAGTCAGAGATCAGTATCTGGAGACAGAGACATGTTATAGTCTGTATGATGAAACCTGTCACTATGAAGCCTGACGTGTCTCCGGCGTGGAGGACCGTGAGAGCGTTGGTCGTCTTGGATCTGACGTCAAGACCCCGCGAGTAGATGTACACTCCCTCCACGAAGTCGGAGATCAGTATCTGGAGACAGAGACATGTTATAGTCTATATGATCAGACCTGTCACTATGAAGCCTGACGAGTCTCCTGCGTGGAGAACCGTGAGAGCGTTGGTCGTCTTGGATCTGACGTCAAGACCTCGGGAGTAGATGTACACTCCCTCGACAAAGTCGGAGATCAGTATCTGGAGACAGAGACATGTTATAGTCTGTATGATGAAACCTGTCACTATGAAGCCTGACGTGTCTCCAGCGTGGAGGACCGTGAGGGCGTTGGTCGTCTTGGATCTGACGTCAAGACCTCGGGAGTAGATGTACACTCCCTCGACAAAGTCGGAGATCAGTATCTGGAGACAGAGACATGTTATAGTCTGTATGATGTAACCTGTCAATATGAAACCTGACGTTTCTCCAGCGTGGAGGACCGTGAGAGCGTTGGTCATCTTGGATCTAACGTCGAGACCTCGGGAGTAGATGTACACTCCCTCCACGAAGTCGGAGATCAGTATCTGGAGAGAGACATTTTATAGTCTGTATGATGAAACCTGTCTCTTGACCCTCCTGATTTTGGTGCATTCTTCACCCTACCTAAAATATCACGTTAAACAGATTTCAAGTGTAATTAAAAACCATGCATGCTCACCTCCCAGCCTAGCTTGATGGATGTAGAACTGATTGGAAATATAGAGGAGAGCTCCAAGATGTTGCCTGTAGAAAGGGTGGCCATTGCTTCCCTCACTTCCTCAGGCAGATCAGCTGATTGCTCCGGCAGAGTGACGGGGGATGAGAGCGGACTGGCGGGAGAGAACCCGTGGGCGTTCTCAGCTCTGGAACAAGTGATCAAAAACGGGTTTAAACAAACATAACCATTAGAATCGTGCAATTGCAGTAAGGTTATTTTACATAGAGTTTTGTGTGGTTTTAAATCGGGATCATCAATTTTATGAGAAAAATAAGTACAAGAAAAATAATTACAAAAAAGTCAGTTTAAATAAGTACAATACTTATTTCTTCAGTGGCCTCTTTTTTATCAGCCATGAACACCAGTTTATATTTTTACATATCTTGTAAAGTTGAAATTGTCCCAACCATTGGAAAAGAGGGGGTTCAGTTCGAAAAAAAATTATGGTTCGAAATAGCAGTCCGTGATCAATGGGCTTTTATTATCATCATCCTTTGGGGAGACTTTACAGGTTAATGTGAGTCAGGATTCAGGAACTCGGACATTTTCACTTCCCTGAAAAGATTATAGAAACTTAACTGACCTGCAAAGCTTGATCTTTCAGATTTACTTGGCTAGAGCTTCCTGAGGATTTTTCTGTCCCTTATTCGATGGGATTTAAGTATGAGAAACTCCCTCTTAAGTTAAGACCTTAGTTTACCCACCTGACAAGGAAGACGTAGGTCATGTTAGGCAGAAGGTGGTGAAGAGCGTGAGTAGGACCAGGGACCCTGTGAGCCACGGTCACCCATCCCACTGTGTGACCTCCAGGCTCACCACCAACAGGTCGTCCTGACAGTTCCACCTGGAATACAGGAGAAACGTGTTGAAATGGAACATAGGGATTACGGCTGTAGTGTAGCAGGAAGAAAAGTAGTAGGAAAACATTTTGATGTTGTGTGTTTTACTTTGTGTGAATACATTTCTATGGATCATGCAAATTGTTTATCACTATTTTGTTGTGAATTCCAAAATGGCAGAAAAGCATCACACACTTCATCAATTGGTTACAAACTAAAGTTTATGCAATATCTGCCATAGAGATCGACTCTTTGTGCAATATCCTCTGATTAAATATTTACATGAAAGGGGGGATAAAAGTTGACATCGTTAGAATTTCACTGTTGGAGGAGATCACTTTTTTATTTGTTGTTTACAATTTTGTGCGAATCACATCATAATCAGTGGTTAATAATATAGTTTTATTTATTTATTTGGATGGTATGAAACAGTTTGATTGGTCTTAGCAGTTGAAGACTATTCACAAGTAGTTCAATCGAAACCAAACAATTTGATTGTCGTTAAATTGGTTTACAAAAAACACTCTACCTAAGCCCCCATTCGAAACTTAAAACCTTTAACAAAGACCCCACCTGATAGCCTAGAAGGGATGACGATCCTATCTGCGAGTGGCGGCTCCAGGAGAGGGTGACGGAGCTGCGGTGGGCGGCGACCACCAGAGGGCGGCTGGGCGGGCCTGGGAGGGCGGCCAGGGTGGGACTCCTGAAGAACGCTATGTCAGAGTTCCTGAGGGACTCCAACCGCAACTTGGCTGTCCAAGTAGCCTTGCCGTGTTGAGATGCGGCCACACAAGTATAGAGGCCCTCGTCTGTCCGCTGCAGATCTGGGGATTCATAAAGCATACAACTATGAAACATACTTCCCAATTCTTCCTTGGATTTTAAACAGTATAGAAAGCGAAATAAATTTTAATGAAATGATTTCTAAGTAGATAACTGATAGCCAAGACCTTTGTCTTTAACAGTCTCTCGTATTTTGACTGTAAGGGCTGTGGCAGTGTTGACTTCAACGTTTATCCTTTTTCGTTATCTTCGTGTCTGTGTTTTCTTTTAGTTGGTAGCTATTTAATTCTCTTTAGCTACGACTTCTTCAGTGCTTCCCAGTTTGTGTAATAAGCCTGCAATTTTAAGTTCCCTCATCAGATTTCCGACCCCAAATGTAGCGAAACTTGTTTTTTACCATAGTGCGTTCAAACAGCCGTGGCACCTGACGGATTAGGAGAACCCATGGAAACACTTGGGGTCTCCTAATCCCTCAGGTGCCACGGCTGTTTGAACGCACTATAATCAATAAATATTTTTACTGACCTAATCTAGCCATCAATTTCAATGAACAAAGCCAGGAGTGCAATAAAATTTCTAATTGTATTTATATTAATTTAAGTGTACCAATAAAAATCCTTGTTGAAACGCATAGCATGTTGAATGTTACTAGCTGTGTTTAGACAATGGAGAAAGAATAAGACAAATGCATATGAATCCGACAGATGAGTCTATGCTACATAAGATGAATATTGTACCTTCAATGTAAAGAGTGCCATTGTCCAACACAGAGATCCTGGGATGCATCGTGAGCACTGGGGAATGGTCCTTGTACCATGTCACTTGTGGTGTTGGCTCACCGCGAACCTGTCAAACAGTAGATTCAGGGCAAAGGAATAAAATGTGACACACTCTTAATGACTGATGTATTCGATACTTCAATCAAAGATTGGGAAAATTAATTACCACAGCACAAGAGAGAAAAATCACGATTGACAGAAGAACCGGTCGCTCTTCCTGAATGTTAGTGTGTAGATTTTTCTATAGGCTTACTAATAAAGCTACTAATTTTTACGCTGAGTAATTCATCTCGCCTTTAATTTAGAGCCTCGATATTATAAATAATGGCTTCTTATTTTATGTATGTCTTGTACTAGAGTCATTATTCTTTCCAAGTGAAATTCTAATATAGGGGGCATGCAATTCGTCCGACAAGCCACTTTGTCGACAAGCCAATCGAGCAAGTGACACGCCGGTCAAATGGTTGCCTCCTAAATTCAATCAAAATTTTAATTAGTGGTCAAAAAATGGTTAAATTATAATCTTAGAAACCTAATTAGCAACAAAGTCGGCAAATAATATTTCTGAACCATTTTTGGACAACTCGAATGACTAACCTCGCACTGAAAGCTGGCCTCCGTCTCCAAAGGAAGTGTCTGGTTGGCCGGGCCGAGGACGATGACCGGAGGAGGATGAAACCCTTGAGTCACCGTCAGTCTGGCAGCCCAGCTGTCAGAGCCGGCGGAGTTGATGGCGTTACATACCACCCCGAGGCCGGTGTCGTTTCTGGTTACCTCCTAAAAAATGTAAGTTGTAGATTTGGAAAAGAATATGTTTTTAAAATAATCAAACTCTTAAGACGATCTTTTAAGAGTCGTGGCTTTTTGGTGTAGCGTTGACACCTTTTACATATCATCACAGTGGTGTATGGAGAACTTCTCTATAAAAAAATCTCATTAAATTTCTTTGACAAATAGTAACCTAAAAAAGGTGTTTCAATGAGACAACGAACTTTTTCTGTCCCCCCTCAAAAAATAGTATTTTCATTTTAGTTCTTGATTAGTTTACTACCTATTTTTGGCCGAAATGCTAAGTCCATTTAAGTTTTGTGGCAAGTATCCTTATCCGTTCAGGCAAATGTTCTCTTCTTATTAATTTACATCTTGTACCACAGCTTACTTTTATAAAACGAAGTCCATGTAACCCAAAATTTAAAAAAAATGTTGTCAAGTTCTCTTTACTTGTCTTACCTGCACTGAGAGTACGTTGATCCCGTCGGTTCCTAGGGATGCGGTGAACCTTCCAGCAGTCTCCCCCGGGAACAGCAACACCCTGGACCCCTGGACGGTCCAGAACACCGAAGGAGAAGGTTTTCCCTGCGCCTCACACTGGAACTGCGCCGTTTCTCCTGTGGCGACGGTCAACTCCTCGGGTCGCGAAATGATCGCCGGTGGTGCTGCGAACATGGTGATGAAATAACTTAATCAAACTTGATAGATACTGAAAACCCGCGATTTGAAGACTAAGATTTGCTAATGGCTTATAATGGAAAAAATATTGTTTAAAATTCACAAAATTATACCCCGACCTGTACGAGATGTGATGGATCTTTAAAACAATTCCCATTGGGTGGGAGCGAGCTGAAAGTAGTGGTTAGAGTGCGGGACTTCAGTAAAACAGTAAACAAGTGTAAACTAAGTCATGGCCCTCCCTTTCCATTTTCCCACACTGGCAGGCTCAACACCCGAATTTGTACCTACCACGTGGAAACTCTTTTCATTGTAAATATATAACAAAAATGCATTATAAAATAATACAACACATAAAATACATGCACTAATATATGTCTTATTGTTTCAGATTCATAAAAACGATTCAGAACGATTTCAGATTCATAGACTATAGTGTCTACGATTAAAAATACAATTTAACACAAGATAAATGAGGCTTCATGATTGTAAGTCAAGCCTGATTAGTAGATATAATATGATGGTTTTACCTCACTTTCGGCGTTTTAGAGGCACTTTTTATAGGGGAAAAATGAGAAAAATTAGTGGCTCATTTTTTTGGCCACTTTTTTAAAGACCCAGCTCTCGACCTATACACCCCTATATAAACTTTCTACTTTTTTAATACTAAAAAACACGTCTGGAATATGGCTCATTTTTTTTGGCCACCCGGCTCTCGTCCAATACAAGCCCATACAAATGTTCAAACTCCATTAAAATTTCAAATCCACATCCATTCCTATGTATATTCTCAAAATCATGCGAGGTTTGTGCGTGAACTCGGGCACGCTTATGGCTATGCGTAAACTATGCCCGACTCAAATGAATGACTGTGAGTGTAACCTAATGACCCCAATCAAAACCAATTGTCAACATTCTCTGTCTGTCTGGTGCCAGTCTGTCTGGGGCAGGTTTAGACAATTACCAAATATGTTTGATTGATTGACCTCAATTATTCAATTGTTCAATTTCAGTTTGTTCAATTTCCATTGTTAAGTTCTAAATTAATTTAGACAATTTTGTGGTATATAAGGGGGGCATTCTATGGAATCATCACTCACTCTTCCACCTGGATCTTCTTGTTTTGGTAAGTCTTTGACATCTAAGCTAGACTATTGTAATATGTTGTCGCGTGTCGGGTCATGGGATCAATTGGTGACGTAATTGATGCTTGTACTCGTACTCTGTATTTCTTTTAACTTAGGAGTGTAGCTAATTTCCCGAGTCCATTTTTAAAAACTTAGCTGAATTGAGTCACTAAGGAACTTGTAAAAAATGTATATAAGTCTATTTTTAAACACTTAGAGTATTTTGAACAGTCACCAAGGAACTTAAAATGTATATAAATCTATTTTTAAACACTTAGAGTATTTTGAACAGTCACTAAGGAACTTAAAATGTATATAAGTCTATTTTTAAAAACTTAGCCAAATTCACTCACGGGGGGACTTTGAGTCAAAAGTTTGCACAAGTTATTATTTCAAAACTTAGCCAAACTTCACTCACCGGGGGACTTTGATTCAAAATGTGTATAAGTTATTATTTAAAAACTTAGCCGAATTATACTCACTATATAATTTTGTCAAGTCCCTTTTAACATAGGTAACATAGTCTTCTCTATAACTAACACTCACTCTGTATATATGTAGACTCAGCAATCTGAATTGCTAAAAAGTATTTTTATTTAAGATTTTGGATTTAGTTTTGATTTAGAAAATTACAATTGCCAAATCTTATTGTATGAAATTGTTTTGAATATTAAAATTTAAAATTCTGATTTAAATTATTATTTCCCATTAATTGAAATTGTCTAAAATGTAATTTCCACCAATTGTTTTTTTAGTTACATGTCAACTGTGTGCTGCTTCTCTATCCAAAAAAGTAACTTATTTTGTTATTACTATTTTTAAGCGAGTCAAAAATATATACAAGTTATTATTTAAAAACTTAGCCAAATTCACTCACCGGGGGACTTTGAGTCAATAGTGTGCACAAGTTATTATTTAAAAACTTAGCCAAATTCACTCACGGGGGGACTTTGAGTCAATAGTGTGCACAAGTTATTATTTAAAAACTTAGCCAAATTCACTTACGGGGGGACTTCAAATCAAAAGTGTGTACATGTTATTTTTTTAAACTTAGCCAAATTTACTCACCGGGGGACTTTGAGTCAATAGTGTGCATAAGTTATTATTTAAAAACTTATCCAAATTCACTCATGGGGGGGGGACTTTGAGTCAAAAATGTACATACAAGTTATTATTTAAAAACTTAGCCGAATTATACTCACTATATAATTTTGTCAAGTCCCCTTTAAAATAGGTATTACTCACTCTGTATATATGTAGACTCAGCAATCTGAATTGCTAAAAAGTATTTTTTATTTAAGATTTTGGATTTAGTTTTGATTTAGAAAATTACAATTGCCAAATCTTATTGTATGAGATTGTTTTGAATATTAAAATATAAAATTCTGATTCAAATTATTATTTCTCATTAATTTAAATTGTCAAAATATAATTTCTCCTGTATAGAAGATGCCAACCTAGTTTTTTAGTTACATATATAAAAATGAAGACTACATGTCAACATTGTTTCGCATCCCTCTCCAAAAAAAGCAACCTTATTCGCCACTACAATTTAAAACATCAAATGAAGGTATGTAAACTGTGTGATTTAATCTGTGATAATAATGTGGCTCTAAAATCTCATATATTACAAAGTCACAAGACTTGTAATTTCTGTAAAAGAAATGTTGTTGGCCATTTTAAAAGACATGTAAATTCTTGTAACAAATGTCCATATACAATGATTAAATTTGTTGGTGAATTGATTAAAACTGAACTTAAAAGTACTCTTCAGTCTTGTCCTCTACCGATAAAATGGACTTTAGTAAGGAGAATCAAATTTATAAAATATACAATAGATCAAAATGGAAAATTAGTTAATGAGAAAGAATGTATTGCAGATTTCAGAAGCCTTACTATCCTTACCATTGAGAAGAGAGATTTAAAGCCTCAAATTGAAAATGCTCTTTTAAAGATTGACGCTTCCATGCACAAATATCAAGCGGAAGGTAGTGGATGGATATATGACCACACTAAATATTGGCAGTTGCACGTTTACAAGTACAAGCCCCTAACTCCAACGTCATATATCCCCACACCAAAAAGTATTCAATCAAAACATGCAATTTTAAATATAAAGAATTCTGACAATAAATGCTTCCTTTGGTCAATTTTAGCAGCTTTATATCCAAGGAATGCAAAAAATGCTGAAAGGGTATCGAAATATGCACCCTATGAAAATCAGTTAAATATGACAAACATAAAATATCCCGTAAAAATATCTGACATAGATCAATTTGAAAAAAGGAATAATATAAGTGTTAATGTATTTGGAGTTGAAGACCAACAATTTATATATCCATTAAAAACCACCAAACTAAATAGTAATACTCATATAGATTTATTATTATTACAAGAAGGTCGTAAATCACATTACTGTTTAATTCGTGATTTTGATAGGTTAATGTTTTACTCTACAAAACATAACAATAAGAAGTATTTTTGCAAGTTTTGTTTACAACATTTTTACACCAAAGATAAATTAGAACATCATATAACATATTGTAAAAACTTTGATGCACAAAGAGTGGAAATGTCTAAACAAGATACATTACAATTTAAAAACTATAAATATCAACTTAAAGCCCCATTTGTGATTTATGCAGATTTTGAGTGCTTTATAAACTCCAATATACATATTCCATCGGGATTTGCATTTGTAGTAGTAAAAGATTCTAAGATTATTTCTGAAGTGTTATATAGTGGTGCAAATGTTATGGATGTGTTTTTCGAAAGATTATTTGAGACTTATGATTTTATTAAAAGTCAAATGGCGATATATATTCCCCTTGTAATGACTCCTGAGCAAGAGGCATCTTTCCAAAACTCAACACATTGTCACATTTGCGAAAAGCCCCTATATTTTGATAGGGTACGAGAACATTGTCATTCAAATGGCCAATACCGTGGAGCTGCCCACAATGATTGTAATTTAAACTATAAAGTAACAAAGAAAATACCAGTATTCTTCCATAACTTGAAAAATTACGATGGACATTTAATAATGCAACACTTGGGAAAATATAATCGTAAATTAAATTGCATAGCCAAAGATATGGAAAAGTACATTTCATTCTCTGTTGATGATTTAGTATTTTTAGATTCCTATAACTTTCTGTCCCTTCCATTATACAAATTAGCTTCCAATTTAAATACATTTAGATTCATAGACAATCCACTACTACAACGTAAAGGCGTATTTCCTTATGAATACATGACAGGACCAGATAAGTTTGCAGAGTCTCTACCTCCAATTGAAAAATTTTTACAGTACTTTAACTAAAGAACATATCTCTCCCATCGAATATGAACATGCAAAACATGTCTGGACCCATTTTAATATAAACAATTTACAAGAATATCATGATTTATATCTTAAAACAGATGTATTGCTACTGGCTGATGTGTTTGAGACATTTAGAGACCTGTGTTTAAAAGATTACAAACTTGACCCCGTACATATGTATTCACTTCCAGGACTAACATGGGAAGCCTGTCTTAGAATGACTGGTATAAAATTACAATTATTTCAAGATATTGACATGCATTTGTTCATAGAAAGTGCAATCAGAGGAGGAGTCAGTATGATTTCCACACGTTACGCTAAAGCCAATAATAGATATATGGGCGAACATTATGATCCCAATCAAGAAAGTGTGTATTTAATATATTTAGATTGTAACTCGCTATACTCCACAGCTATGTGTGAGACACTACCCGTGGATGGATTTCGTTGGACGAATGAGATAGACTACAAATACAATCAAAATGATGAGTTTGGATATATTTTAGAAGTTGATTTAAAATATGATAAAAGCTTA